ATAAAACTGGTTAACTGGTGCTGTCTGAAACTTCTCCTTTAAAGTACTGTCACACTGGATGTCGATGAGTTCGAGTTGTGTGTCTGGTGGTGCTTTCTCACTGTCAAAAGATAGGGGGCATGAGACAAGTTCAAGCTCAGTCTCAATTTTTGCAAAGTCTGTGAAGCGACGGGAAAATTCTGCATGGAGGTCGATCAAAGTGCTGCTGTACCTCTCAATGCGAGACTGTGTTATTGGTGTGCTTAGTCCGGTCAGTGTAGGAAAATTAGCGAAATCTCGACTGGATATCTGTCTGGAGAACAGTACAAGTTTGGCCTTGAACGCTTTCACGTTGCTGTACAGTTCGTGCACAAAAACGTCCTTTCCCTGAAGTCTCAAATTAAGATAATTCAGATGCCTCAGTGTGTCGACACTGAACGTGAGGTTGGCCAGCCAGTCTGTGTCTTGTAATATGGGGAAGTCGTCAGTTTTGCCAATCGTATTGAGGAACGTTGCTATCTCACCTTTTAGTTCCCAGACACAGTGAAACACATTGCCAAGACTTAGCCAGCGCACATTTGAATGGTACAAGAGGTCATGGTGCTCTGCCTCTGTTTCATTAAGCAGCTGAATGAACTGCCGGTGGTTCAGCACTCTTGCCTGTATAAAGTTGACAAGCTTCACAACCATTTTGACATTTTCTAGCTTCGACACACTTTTACGCAAGGCTTCCTGGTGTATGATGCAGTGAAGAAATATCAGTTCTTCTGAGTTCTGGGTTTCATATTTTACTTTGTCTTGCGACCTTTTTAGCAGTCCAGTGTTTTTACCGGTTAGATTTGGCAATCCATCTGTTTTGATGCTTGTCAGCTTTCTCCACGGCAGGTTATTTTTTTCCAGGCAGACGGACACACTGTCATACAAATCCATGCCCCTGGTCATTCCCATCATTGATTCCATCCCGAGGAGTTCTTCTGTTATTTAGAAATTTTAGTTTATTCCTCTGACAAAAATCTAAAGTTGAGCAGTGTCTGTGATGTCAGAACTTTCATCAAGTGCGATAGAAAAAAGACTGAAGCTGTCTGCTTTTTTTTGTTTTTTAGTTCGGAGAAGCAGCTCCTCTGCAATTACTAACACGCGCCTGGTAATTGTTCTCCGCGATAAGCTAATTTTCTCAAACTGACTTTTATATCCAGGACAAAGTATGTCAGCAGTCTCTACCATACAGTCTTTCACAAATTCCCCATCCGAAAAAGGCTTGCTGTGCTTTGCAATTTTATGTGCCACTACATAACTAGCTTTCGTTACAGATTCTTGAATAGAGCACTGTTTCATAAATGTATTTTGCTGGGCTTTTAGTTTGTGGCAAGTTTTAAAGCCTTGTTTGCCTTTTCTGCAGGTGACAGGTTGACAGCTTAAATCGAATGCTTGCTTGAAAAATGACGACTGAGGTTGTAAAAACCGCAATACTTTCTTGGCATATTAGACATACCACCTTCTGTCCGATATTGGTGAAGAAGTATTTTGTTGTCCATTCTTCCTTGAACACACGACATTCAGAGTAAACTTTTCTTTTTTTTTGCCACACTCATTTTCACTCATCATTTAACATCCGAGTTACTACCGCGTGCATTCTAATTCTACTGTAGGCGCTAACTGTACTGCGTGCTATACTGCCATCAAATGGCGTTCTCTTGTATTGCATCAAATGAGTAATTCTGAACTAAAACCATTACTCAAATGTAGCATTTTTAAAAACTCCCTCGCGGGCCAGATGAAAGTGTTCGGCGGGCCGTAGTTTGCCCCCCTTCTGTCATAGTATCATCATTGATGTTGTTGATCACCATCATCAAACATTAGTGATGATAGTGTAAACGTAATTTGTATGTGTAGCTAGAGGATGTTTTTGAATGTTCGGATGAACACTGAAATGTATCTTAAATCTATAGCATCTAAAATGTATGGCCATTTACAAATGAAGAGATGTATAAATCTTTATCCTCTGAGGCAGAGATGCCCAAACCAGGGTATGTGGGCCAAATTAGGCATGCCATTCGATGTCATAAGACAGGGCAAAAATAGGGAAAAATAAATGCCCTTGAAGCATCTGCATTTCTACTTTATCCTTTTGCATTGAAATGTAGAGATTTTAAGTAAGTTTGATGTTGATATTATATTTAGATATAATGCAACATTAACTTTCATCCCCACAGCCCTCCGTTTAATTTTTTTGGGCACTATGCTTAAAAGGCTTACATAGTGGGATTCTAATTTGTAAGTAAAATATGTCAAATAAAAGCTTTTTAATGGCAAATTAAATCTAGGTGGGACTAAGTCATTTGCACTCTTTATGTATGGCTAAATTTATATTAGTATGAGATACAGGTGAAACACTATCGATGTTAGTGTAGGTGTACTGATCAGTACTGATTTGTGTGGGTTGGAGGTACAGGTTTTGCCCAGATGTCCCCATATGAGAAAACCTGAAAAGATGTATGCTATTCATGCTGAACTCAATGAGGATGTTGTTTGTGTGTATGGTAGCAGGTGGTGAATGGGAAGAGTCGGAGAAGGTCAACTCCTCGCAGGCGTTCTATCAGCTGCAGGGTCTGGCACCGGGCATTCAGTACCACCTGCAGATCCGGCCCGGAAACAACTCCTGGGAATTCAAAACAGGTGGACCAGGTACAGGCTAGTAACAACCACCTCCGGATCGCTTTATTCGTTCCATGCTCTCATGTGTTGTCTCTTTCTCAGAGCTGCACGAGTTGTCCAGTAGCTTTGCGACTCAGGGCTGGTTCATCGGACTCATCAGCACCATGGTTCTGCTGCTGCTGGTGCTGCTCATTCTGTGCTACATCAAGAAGAGCAAAGGAGGGAAGTATTCAGGTAACACACAAAGCACCTCGCACAGTTTACTGGAAAAATCATTACGTGTCTCTCTGGAATATTTGAACGTTCTTGCTGATGGCAGCCTTCTGTGGTCTGATGTTTTTGACCTTCCCTTGGGGAAGACCAATACTAATGGACCTGCATTTGGATAGAGTTTGCTTCACTTTATCTTGTTGAGTCCTACCGGTAAGAAATTAATGGAACTATTTGATACTGTCAGGATTGGCAGCCGAACTACGTTTGGAGAGCACAAGGTGTGGCTGCACAGCTCAGATCAAGGAAGAACAACCTGGCATGAGCCTTAGGGTCCTCCAGATGTTTTACAACCTGATGCACCACAGTCAGGATAGCATCATTAGTGCCCCTGTTATTCTGAGAGGGTTCAAGATGGTCCTTAACCTCTTCTTTAAGGCCTGAAATGGGCGCACAATTTCGAATGTTTTTTTGCGCTGAGTGTGTTTTTGTGCTGGTTTAGGCTTGTCATGGGTAAATAAATATTACACTAAAACCACCAGTAGGTGGCAGCAAGTGTCTGTTTTAATTAATGATTAATTGAATTCTTCTATCAAACGATTCTTTCAAAATGGCTGATTCAATTAGAAGTGAAGCAAGTGGGGCAGTCATGGCCTAATGGTTAGAGAGTCGGACTTGTAACCTGAAGGTTGTGGGTTTGAGTCTCAGGTCCCGCAGAAATTGTAGGTGGGGCAGTGAATAACCAGCACTCTCTTCCACCCTCAATACCACAACTGAGGTGAGACCCTTGAGCAAGAACTGAACCCCCAACTGCTCCCCGGTGCCACAGCAAAAACAGCTGCCCACTGCTGTGTGTGTGTGTGTGTACAGATGAGTAAAACACAGAGCACAAGTTCTGAATATGGGTCGCCACACTTCACTTCAAGTTCTTAATGAATAGATCATTGAATAATTGGCTCACTGATTCGTTCAAAAACAGATTCATTCTGGAAAGAAACACTGCAGTGTTGCTCTTAGATGCATAACAGCTCTGCTCCGGCTTTGTTGGGAACTGTTTCTTTTGCAAAACAGGAAAAAAGACAAAATGTCTCTAAAATGTAACTTACTCATCTTCTTTTCTGTTGAACTGCTGTTTAAAATTAAATTAAGATTTGCGATCACGCACACATGCAGGTTCTTGTGTGATAATGCTTAACTATATCATATAAAGATTTTAAAAAATAACACACAGTGATATACAGTATTTTTTTCCTTTTTTTGAATTATAGAGGCATTCTAACTGCATTGTAATAGGCTTCATGCTTTTGAACTCTCAAGATGTGTTTTTTGCAAAGTCCCTGAGATACTATATAATGTCAGCTAGTGTGAATTAGAACAGGGTGATAATTTCTGAATTATGTCATCCCCCGAATCCCCCATCAATTCAAGCCCTGCATATGAGACATTGGCCCTGTCCCAAATCGCACCCTAAACCCTCGTGGTCTTCCTCTGACTCCACACTTTCGTGACGTAATGCCACTTTGACTGTCGGGTAGAAGTCTGCCACAGAGCTCGCCCCAGTGCGGGCTCGGCAGAAGAAGGGCTCATAGAGCACCCTTCTGAAAGCTAAAATAGCCTTCTGTGGTCTGATGTTTTTGACCTTCCCTTGGGGAAGACCAATACTAATGGACCTGCATTTGGATAGAGTTTGCTTCACTTTATCTTGTTGAGTCCTACCGGTAAGAAATTAATGGAACTATTTGATACTGTCAGGATTGGCAGCCGAACTACGTTTGGAGAGCACAAGGTGTGGCTGCACAGCTCAGATCAAGGAAGAACAACCTGGCATGAGCCTTAGGGTCCTCCAGATGTTTTACAACCTGATGCACCACAGTCAGGATAGCATCATTAGTGCCCCTGTTATTCTGAGAGGGTTCAAGATGGTCCTTAACCTCTTCTTTAAGGCCTGAAATGGGCGCACAATTTCGAATGTTTTTTTGCGCTGAGTGTGTTTTTGTGCTGGTTTAGGCTTGTCATGGGTAAATAAATATTACACTAAAACCACCAGTAGGTGGCAGCAAGTGTCTGTTTTAATTAATGATTAATTGAATTCTTCTATCAAACGATTCTTTCAAAATGGCTGATTCAATTAGAAGTGAAGCAAGTGGGGCAGTCATGGCCTAATGGTTAGAGAGTCGGACTTGTAACCTGAAGGTTGTGGGTTTGAGTCTCAGGTCCCGCAGAAATTGTAGGTGGGGCAGTGAATAACCAGCACTCTCTTCCACCCTCAATACCACAACTGAGGTGAGACCCTTGAGCAAGAACTGAACCCCCAACTGCTCCCCGGTGCCACAGCAAAAACAGCTGCCCACTGCTGTGTGTGTGTGTGTGTACAGATGAGTAAAACACAGAGCACAAGTTCTGAATATGGGTCGCCACACTTCACTTCAAGTTCTTAATGAATAGATCATTGAATAATTGGCTCACTGATTCGTTCAAAAACAGATTCATTCTGGAAAGAAACACTGCAGTGTTGCTCTTAGATGCATAACAGCTCTGCTCCGGCTTTGTTGGGAACTGTTTCTTTTGCAAAACAGGAAAAAAGACAAAATGTCTCTAAAATGTAACTTACTCATCTTCTTTTCTGTTGAACTGCTGTTTAAAATTAAATTAAGATTTGCGATCACGCACACATGCAGGTTCTTGTGTGATAATGCTTAACTATATCATATAAAGATTTTAAAAAATAACACACAGTGATATACAGTATTTTTTTCCTTTTTTTGAATTATAGAGGCATTCTAACTGCATTGTAATAGGCTTCATGCTTTTGAACTCTCAAGATGTGTTTTTTGCAAAGTCCCTGAGATACTATATAATGTCAGCTAGTGTGAATTAGAACAGGGTGATAATTTCTGAATTATGCCATCCCCCGAATCCCCCATCAATTCAAGCCCTGCATATGAGACATTGGCCCTGTCCCAAATCGCACCCTAAACCCTCGTGGTCTTCCTCTGACTCCACACTTTCGTGACGTAATGCCACTTTGACTGTCGGGTAGAAGTCTGCCACAGAGCTCGCCCCAGTGCGGGCTCGGCAGAAGAAGGGCTCATAGAGCACCCTTCTGAAAGCTAAAATGACGAATGGGACACCCTACGGCCTCATGGATTTAACGGACACGCGCACACGAGGCCATTGTAAGACTGCAAGTGCGCATGAAGTGTGCCATTTGGGACAGGGCCATTGTTGTCAAAGCCACTGGAAGGCAACCTTTAGCCAAAAAAGCTAATGGCTAATGCTAACGCTTCTGCTTTGGTGATACGCAGGGAAGGAGACCAGAGGCCGTTTTTTTTTTTAATTGATGTCAATGGAGGAGAGGCTTCACTATGCTGAATAAACAGCTTTTTATAGGAAACAGCTGATCATTTAATGAATCTTCAGCTTATTTAATCTCCAACATGTTTTACACTAAACAATAGTTCCCTTTCATGGGAACTTTGAACTGCGTCCTCCAGGGGTCGCTATGGGGAACGCCTCGTCGTAACCCGTGTCTGAAACATACATCGAAAAAACACCAGCAACACGTTGGCCGGTGACAGCTATGACGTCACTACCGGTGCAACTATAGTGTAAATAGGCGCCGGGAGAACACATCATCCTCTTCTTCGTCTTCATTGACTGTTTTGTTTGAAGGGTGCATTTCTGTGGTAAGAGTGATCTCTTTCATATCATTATGGTGAGCATAAAAGCGTTTAGAGGGTGTGTGCATCCGTGTTATCCTTGTTTAACATCTGATGACACACACGATCTATGCGTTATGTGTTTGGACGAAGAGCACGCACGCGATGTCACGGAGGGGGCAATCAGCGTGCACCGCAAGCGTTTTTTCAAGGAAAAAGCTCCGCTCTCGTTTTTCTCTCTTTTCAAGGATAGAGGGGCACCCATCTGCTTCCCGCGATTCAGGATTCGCCGCTGCTTAGGCACGGAGGAGAATGAACTCGTGGGGATCGCATGTGGATCTGGCCGATGAGTTTGAAGAGGGGCCAGCGTCTCTATGGATGAGACGTACTCTTTTAAGACTCCCTCCTTGACATCTCATTGTAATGCCAGGGCATACGCAGCAGCAGCAGCAGGTCGGGCTGTCGCTTCATTGCACATGATGGTGATGCCCCAAGCATATCAGGCTGGCCTGCTGAAAGACCTGGATAAAGGCGAGGGCCTTTCTCCTAATGAGGTAGCTGAGTGCGGGCAAAGGTGCGCTCAGCGGCCTTTACAAAGGTCCAGGTCTGAGCCAGAACAACCCAAGGGGTCCTGGCCTGGTCTCGGTTTGAGGATCAGAGACGGGCACAGAAGGCTAGTGTCGTGGCTCGTGGTCCTCCCCCCGCCGTGGG